GTAAAGACATTTATTACTTCAATATTTTTTTATTCCAAACATTAATTAAATTAAAAATTTATATGATTTGCGTATGTTAATATTACTAATACTATTAATGTGAATGTTTAGATGGATGGATGGATGTTTGTTACTACATATCACTAGAACGGATTACGGATAAATGGATTGTTTTGAAATTTGCCATAAATATAAAACATAGTCTGGAAGAGCACATAGGCTACTAATTAGTTGCTTTTTTAATTTCGCGTGGACAGAGTCGCAGGCATTATCTAGTACATAGTGTAAAATATATTGATTTCTTTGCATACCAAGTGTTCAATGCAATCTGGGAGACTTTGGCATTCTCAAAACACATAGCCGCAAGTAGATCAAGGGCTGGTAAAGCGAGGTTAGGTGGTGGCGATGTGTCTGACGACAGCAATGCCGCTGCTGCCTCCAGGGCTCCCGATGAAGAGAGTGCTTCTTGCTCTAGTGGCCCTCCACACCATATTGATAGAATCCGGACTATAGATGCTCGAGAATTCAGAGAGCCTTCTCTTGCTATTTCTGTATAATAAAAAAAACAATTAAAAAGCTGTAATAGAAAATTTATAAATAGTGTAAATAAGTCTGTAAATCAGAACTATCAGTTGTTGAGTATTGCCTTTGCTTTATTTACATTCTAACATATACATATACATGCTTGATTGTACCATTTTTGTTCCAAACAAATTTGCTTTTTGATTAAATAAAAAAAATATATATAGATTATTTTTAAATCGACTATAAAAATCATATGCCAATGTGTTCTTACTTACGTGTTAATCTAGCTAACAGTTTCATATCAACAGGCAACGCTGAAACCGGTGCTGGAGGATGTAAGAAGAAACTTTTCAATGCACTAAGCACTGCCTCCATTAATTTTGTATCAATAAGGATGGTCTTCAATAACTCTACCAATGATATAACAACACCTTGTTCCACGAGAGTATTGACATCTTCCGTTGTACCTTTGGCCAATGAACCTGATAAAATAAATTTTTATTTTAGTCTACAGTGTGATCAAAACAATGTGTTTGTTTGTTTATTTATTAATGAACTAGCTGTTGCTCACAACTCAACAAAAAAAAACATAATAATACCCAATGTGTTCTTTCAAACAATGTTCTACATGTAACACTTATTTCATCAAAATCTGTTCAGCCATTCCGGAGATACCCTCAAACAAACATCCATCCATCCTTTTAAAGTTTTGCATTTATAACATTAGTAATATATATATTGAAAAAAGTACTAACTATTAAAGTAACTTAGCATACTATGTATCATATAAGTAATTTTCTATATTAATAACTTAGTTGAAAAAATCATAAGTAAATGCTCATCTACTTTAATTAAATAATAAACAGTATGAAATCGTAAATATGTTATGTTCACTATCAACTAAGAATAGGGCAAAGCACATTGATATCAGAGGTCAATGCAACTAATATTGTTTTTAAGGTGCAAATGCCTTTGAAATATGCTTATTAATCTAAATATAAATTATTCGACATTATGAGATATGCATAGGAAATGATATTACCTATTGTTATAGTAGCTTGCAATCTAACATCGGCATCGAGTGTTTCATCCGACATCAGCTGTACCAATCGCGGCACTATTCCTTGTCGTATAACAGAACTCTTCTGTCTATTACTTCCAATAACCGAGTTTTTTAAAGTCACTAACGCCTCTAACGTTTTATCAGCCTCTGATGAATACAGCTCATCGATGTACGAACGAGAGCTTTCGATATCCTTGCGGTAAAAATGAATAAGGTTATTTAAACACCATTAAATAACGATTGCTAATACCATATTTTACACTGTAAAATTTACTTACCATGAATATCGTGAGCTGCTGCATGTCTTATAAGATTTACGCAGCAATATTGTTAAAAATATCTCAGAAATAATTCTGAAAATACGCAATACGCTGTCGCTGTCAATTTCGCCTTACCATTTCCACCTGTCACTCTGTCAGACACTGCATGTCATTTTTAAAGTTCAGGTTTACAGGTTTTTAATCATGTTTAGAATTTTTCTATTGATAAAACCTTAATCTCCAAAAATAAGTCATAATAATACAAATCGATTTTGAGGCTCCACTAGCACGTAAAATTTTTGAGTGTGATTTTATTACATTTACTTCGCTAAACTTAGAGAAATAAAATAGCAACACTGAGTATAACCACAGATAGCTATTTTAACTTTGTTTAATTTTATTTATTTCTACTTGACTTGGATCACATCAGTGCTTAAAGGTTTTTGTTTTTATGATTTTATTCGTTACGTAGTCTATTTAGTAAGTAACACTATTAAATACATTTTCTTCGAGAGTTAAAGCAGTAAGATTACTTTATTAGCAGATACAGATAAGAGTCGAATGTATAATGGCAGACTCCGGAGTTGACACCAGTAATGAAAGTAGTGATAATAATCAAAACATTGAGCATTCTCCATTTATAGAATTTAATCCATTAGCAAATTCGTTAGAATTGCCAGGAAATGGGGGCGTATCACGCGATTTCTTCGACGAACCTCATGATTTAATTGGTAAAATAAAATGTACCACGAAGGCCAGACATTGCCGGATAAAATATCGATGCAGTGCTACGATTTACTCATCAAGAAATCAGAAGCTGCGATTTGCCGCATCGACAAACAACTCTGAGCTTGTAGAAAAATTACTATCATCGGGTGCAGATCCAAACTCTTCAGATGAGCATAAACGAAGTCCATTACATTTAGCAGCATGTCGTGGATACGTCGATGTCGTAAAAATACTGTTAAGGCACGGCGCTAACCCTAATATAAAAGATACTCTTGGTAACACTCCATTGCACCTTGCCGCTTGTACTAATCACATACCAGTAGTCATCGAACTGCTTGACGCTGGAACAGATGTTAATTCCAATGATAGGAATGGCCGAAATCCCATTCAGTTGGCCCAAAGTAAATTAAAACTAATACAAATGCGTCCAAGTGGTGCCAGTCATTATGAAGAGACCCGGCAACTTATTAGTGAAATTTGTCTTGTTGTTGAGATGATGCTTAAATATATGAAAATTCAAAAAGCTGACTCTGGTGATCTTGAATCCGTCCGTAAGAGACTTGAGTGTATCAGCACAAGGGAACAAGTGGAGTCAGAAGTGCAAAATTTACTTGATAGTCTTGACTCTTTGAAACTTAGATAAAATGGTGTATAAATGTTTTATAATTTATCTTAAAAACAAATTAATTTCTTTAATATCAAAATTAGATACTTTTTAAATTAATTTATATTTTAAAATTTATATCACATCGTAATTTTCAATTTATGTGACAAATTTCATGTTTGTTTCACTTAAGCAAGAGATGTTTGCCATGTTTTAATAGTTATAAGATTTAATAATAATAAAAATATTTAGTAACATTACATAAATTTGTATATGGTTTAAGCAATAAACATGTTTGATTTTCTATGGTATTTGTATTTTATTAACATGCCTTTGTTTAGAAATAATAACAAAACAAACCATGTCTTACCCACTTATGGAAAATTATATTATGGTAGGAAAAACATTGTCTTAAGTCTTATATAAATAGACAGATTTATTGGCAAGATATAGAATAACTGTTATGGTATATATTTTAGAAAATAAATCTTGGCTGAATTTCAAACATGTATGCAAATTTGCTTCTATTTTGCAAAAAAAAAACTTTAATATTCAAATAGAGTCACTGAATTAAAATTCAATGTAGTAAGGTTCCCAATCCCTCACCATAGATAAAAAAAAAACTTTATAAATAATAATTATTTATTAGTAACAACTTTATAAACTTTAAAAGTTCATAAATTTCTTGAAATATTTATAAATATTATCAATGCTGCATGCACATTTAACATATTGAATAAACTCTAGTAATATTTGAACTCAACAAATCTTAAAATCTATATACAGTTTACAGCTTATTAAGAATTTTAAAATGTTAAACTTTCGTATGAAGATGTGCTTCTAATATTCTGTACCACTGTTATAATGACATGTATTCTGTGAGTATCAACTGTCGAAACACTGATATGAAACATGTTGTCATCACCCTCGTTAATTTGAAAACAACAGAGATGTTAATCATTTTAGAGTTTCGATAACAACCCATGGTAAGAGTAGTATATAAATTAAAGAAAAAGTAAATATATAAAAAATCGTATCTTAAAAATGAAATTTGTAATAATGTTAAAAAGAATAATATTAATGAAAAACAAGTGAAACTGGGGTTTTACTCAGTAGGCAATTTACCATGTATCTATAGCAGAAAAATTTTATTATCACAGAAATATTATAAAGTACACTTAATAAATTAATACTGCTAATATTAAGTAGAATCACACATCCCAAACCCATTCAAAACAATTATCTAAATTAATGCACACACCCTTATATTATATCTCATACATAATAATTGGGCAAGTTTTATCTTAAATATTGTCTAAGTGGACACCAAGGCTTTAAATGCTTGAATTGAAAAGAGCCTAATACTCTTTTATTCTGTGGATATCAAGTAATACAACCACTGAACTCTTTACACGGACAGGCTAAAACCGTGATATTTTGTGCCTATTTGACTTTAGCCATTTGGCGCTGATAGTTACGGTTGATAGCGGTGGTGAAGATACAAACTAAAAAGAGTGATAGAAATAATTTCTAGGAACTTGAATAAGTGTGTAAGTCGGAATGATGCTAAAGCTGTCATTTCCAAGCAATTACCTGTCCATGTATAGAGATCAGTGAATAGAACTAATATAATAAAATAGAAAACTATTAATAAATATATTAATAATTTTTTTCTTAATGCATTATTTCAGTTCCAATTTGTTTAAGTGACAAAAAATATGTACAATTTATAATTTAACACATATAAACAATTTATTTGTAAAGTAACATATTGTTTAAAATGAAATTGAAAATAGTTTTTATAAAATAGGTTAAATTATTTCAAAGCTTAGCTTCATTTAAATATTAGTAAATAAAAACTTGTTTAAACAAATAAAATTGCATTAAATAATCAATTCCTTGGTTAAATGTGTGCAAGTGCAATATAAATTTGGCACTTATTTCCATATGTTTGACAACCTTGACTAGCAACTAGATGTGATTGTTTTTGAATAGCTTACAACAAAATATCACAAGTTTAACTTAAACAAATCCATAAATTATTATTGCAGTAGTTATACAATATTAAAATTAAATCACAACTTCAATGGAATGCTTAATATAATTTTCCATCAGTAAATAGAGAACAGAATTTAATATAGAGGTTGATTTGACCACAACCGTTCAAATAACGTATTATTATGTCTTTTATTGCTCAACATAGGCTCGGTTAAGTGGCAGGTTGATATCAGTCATTTAAGAATCTATATCCTTATTTGAATACATCTCGTATTATTTTGTATCGGGAACAAGGAGGTGAACTATATTAGGGAATATTTCCGCTTGAAGTGGACCGTATTCTACAAGCTCGCCGTCGACAGTCAGGTAGCCATCGGATCCCTCGGGAACTATTCTAAATGCACTGACAGGAATCATTTTTATATACTCTGTATTCACATCGGAATGGGTCCCTTGACCCATGCCCAGGAGGAACGATAGAATTTGAGATCTTGGAATACCCGCCTTAATGATAAGCATCCACATGACCCCGTCGGAGAGTTGCGAGCGCGGGGCGAAGAGCAAGTCCTCTCCTATGTACGCCTGGTACGACACGTGGACCATGACGAACTCACCCTCCTCGTGCACCCAGTGGGAGGGCAGTTGAGACATGAGAGAGGGCAGATGGGAAGCCGGGCCGTGCATGCAAGCGTGCACCGGGGACCGCATCTCTGAGCCACCGCTGGCAACGCTGTGATACTCGGAACCTCTCGTGCTGTAAAATGCACTCCTCCTAGAATTCACCGAGTACCAGGAATCGACCCGCTGATGTTTGCCGTTGACGGCGTTTGTGAACACTTCGGAATGCTCGTCGCAATCAATGAATGCCTCCGCGTCGGGGGAGTCGAGCGCGCCGTCCTGACTGACGCTGTGGCTGAGGGTGATGGGCAGTTTGGGCTTCGGAAGATTGCTAACATCTTTAATTTTAGCATAACTAACTACCCCTTTGTACTTTCTTAGGCCGACTAATCTAGCCAGCGCCCATATGGCAAATCTCTGTCCACCGATGGCCCGTAGACGCTCGCTTTCGATATCGATGTCGGAGAGCAGACCCCAGCCGACAGACAGGAACGAGAACATAATCTGAAATCAACATGAAAGTGATTAGAAATAATAAATCAAGTTGAAACAGAACTGCGAGTGAATAATAGTGGCATATGTCGTGACAAATATGCGTCACACGAGCGATAATCGCGTAGATATGAACGTAACAGCAAGAATAATTGTATCCGCATCAACTCTCCTTGTTTATTACGAGTGTTACGGACGCATTCAATTGAAAAGTGTAATATTATCGTCGTCGGATAACGAAACTGCTACGACAAAAAGGTTAATTACATATACGTTGTAACTTAAATTGTTGATGATTTTGTAAACATATTGATTAACTTTATAAAGAAGTATGCAATACCGATAAGGTTAATGTAGAAATTTCTATCTGTATCGAATCGAAAACATTGATTGGAAAATTCAATATACGATTTAAATGTTTCTGCTTACATTGGTTTTAGTTTCAACCCTGACGACGTCCATGGGTGCTACCCTGCCCCTAGCCAGGCCCATGGAGATGCCAGTAAGGTTTTCTCGTATGTACGGCTCACTGAAACAATTACAACGTAATTAGATTCAATAAAGGAATCGTGACGTTCATGACCTGGTTTACTTTGCCTAATAAAAAGATAATTGAATAACAATATGGAAACCTTTTTGTTTCGTGTCAATAAATCCAGAATCTTACAACGAGGAGGTACTTGTTCATAAATACTGTAATGACTACAAATAAGTAACCAATAATTTTCAAGATTATATTTTCAAGAATATAAAAAGGAAAAATGGAAGTACTAATAAAAAATACAACTTAATATTTCTAAAGACGGAACGTTCCGAAAGATAATTTTAATCATTATATGAATATTCTAGTCTAGACATCTTTTCAGTCATTATTATTTAAATCGCTTGTCTCGAAATGATGTTTTCAATGTTAGCGAGTGACCTTCACTAACTTGTAACAGTAAGTTTCCACTAATGGCATTATTTTCAAGCAGAACGAGAGGCATAATTATGTTTCTATGCAAGTATTTTGCCAGTGGAAATCCACGTTAAGAGTGATGAACAAACAAACTGTTTTTAGTTGAACAAAAGAAATACATCATTACTATTTCGAGAGGTTTACGTATACTTCATTGTTTCAAATAAAACATCTATACTAATAATTCATTGAAAATGTTTATTGTTATTTTCATATTACTTTCTTACCTAACTACTAAATGCTCTCTCCTTACTAAATGAATACTTTATGACTCCTTTAATGACGATTAAGCCACTCAGAGTGAGACAGTTGCTGACAAGTACAGTAATAATGCATACGTAACAATGGTTACTATAAAGCCAGGGGTGGCAAACCTTTATATATCAACGTGCCATTTTTGTGCGTTCCAAAATAAAATATTTTGCGAATATTGGAAACTTTACATAGGGGATTCATGTTTGGTCCTCATATAAGTAATATTCGATAAACACTTTTTCTTTTGCCTATCACAAATTGTGTAGCGTGCCAATTGTTCGCCACCTTTGCTATACTCAATTCCTCACTTTTAAAAGTTAGTTAATAAGAATCACAATAGTAATTAAATAGCGGAATTTATATAACCTTTAGAAATCCTTATCTTATTTACGATTTCAAAACTTGTCTTAGTTCTCATGGCCGTAATCGTAAGTCGAAATGATTATCCCCGCAGATAAAGGAACGCGTTGTTATCGTGGTACAATGTTTATTAAGACAGTATTTTTAAATGCACGATAAGAATTGATCGTTTCAAATACAATAGTTAAAGAACGGATTTTTTTAATCCTTGCTGCCAGTAGAAAAAGCGAAGCATTAGGCTGAACCTAAAACAATGATGATTCCATAAGCTCTTTTAGGGATTGGAATGTGCCCATATGTAGATTTAGACATTATTAATTAGAATCCTTTGGCGCGAATGACGTGCATTCGTTACAAAGTTCAGTGTCCCAATGAGTAGAGAGGGGACATGAAAGTTGACATTTTAGTTAGGCTAGTGTTGCGTCAATACACTGGCACATTTTCGAATTTTGTTCAGACAAGTTGATAATGAACTAACTGAAAATCTCTATGGTTTTTTTCCAGGGCCGGCATTAGGGTAAAGCGCGGTTAGGCGACCGCCCAATGCACTGGACAGAAAGGCGCTACAGGTCTATGAATACACAAATTCGAAATCACAGTTTCCAACATATAATCCAATGTTTCTTAATCAAAAGTCAAGTCAAGGAAATACTTTATCGCGACTTTTATCATTTCGGTTTTACTAATTTTCCGCTTCCTAAATGAATATTGTACAAAAACATACACATTTACTTTGAAAATGTGCGATTTTAAATGTGCAGGCAGTGGCAAGCCAGTATAAAGAATAACAAACTGAATATGTATATTTGTTAACGCAATAGTATTGTTAATTTTTATTGCCAATATATTGTAGTATTTCATTTCATTTATTAACTAGCTTTCGCAGGCGACTCCGTCCGTGCGGAGTTAAAAAAACACAATTAGTATATATGTTTGTAAAGACTATGTTTTACATCTATGCCAAATTTGATCCATATCCGTTGTGCCGTTCCGCAGGTATCTTTTTAACATCTATTTATCCATACATCCAAACATTCACATTTATAATATTAGAATAGATTCATACATCAAATAAGACATAAAATTCTAGTTTTATTTATTTGGACTAAAAGTATACATTTTGGTACAACAACTGGAACGGTTACCGAATACTTTGTCGTTACGGTTTTTATGTTACGCTTTCACTGCACTATGACGAAACGTATTTATAAAATTGTGTTAACTCATATAAATCGTAAAACTGTACTGTTAATAAGATTAAGCGAATTCAATATTATAGAAATTGTTACTATAATTATATTAATGTGACATAAAAATCCTTTAAAATGATTTGACCTTGAAATAAAATGCCTACTTGTCAAGCAATCGATACTGATTTTGCTTAGTTGATTTACTTGGAAAATAGCTATAAGCCTACAAATTAAAAAGATTACCGTGTACTTTGGAACCTATTTGCAGCAATTTTATATCGGTTGTGACATTATCAGGCGACTTATCAAAACAAATCCAGGTTAGTCGGTGGCTAGTTAATTACTACATACTCTTTGTTGTTCATTATCACAGACATAGAGCATAGTTATAATAGATATGTCATACTTCCCTTCTTTGTTTCACATTTTACTAGCCGTCGCCCGCGACTCCGTCCACGTGGATATATAAAAATTTAAAAAGCAGCTCTTCACGGCATAAATTCGAAAAAAACATTTTTTTAATGAATAAACAGTATCCTTTGTCCGTCTCCTGGCTCTAAGCTACCTCCTCGCCAATTTTCAGCCATATCATGAAAGCCGTTCTCGAGTTATAAATAGTGTAACTAACACGACTTTCTTTCATATATATATATATATATATATATTTGATATAAGATATAATTAAGATGATATAAACGTATTAATTTCTGTTCCATAACGAATTATATCGATAGAAAAATATACGATCAAGGATAGATGTTTCAAAAATTATGTTCTGATTTTTTTTCCGTCGGCATCGGCTGCAGAAACCAAAGGCAATAAAAAAACTTGTTTATAATCAAAACTAGGCTATCTAGTTCATAAAGCAATGATTGTGATACCTAAGGCTTACTATACACGAACGCGAAAATGTTCTAGTAAAGCCAAACACCTTCAGTTTTAACTGATTAGTCAAACTGTACAATTAAACTAACAGCTCAAATAAAATAAGCCCTTAGTCCAAATAATCCATGTAAGATTACTCCAATTGTGTAATAAAAGATACAATACTGTGTAAAACATTCTTATCAGTATCGTTTGTCATAAAACATTCATACAGACGGGCAAATTGTCTTCCGACGATAATCTCGGACGTAAAAAGTTAAAAATCATGTTTATGTTCTAGATATATTAACGACAGACGTGTTGTTATATTACCATGCTAGTAATGATAGGATATTCGATGTCCTAATTGTCACGTTAACATGTATAAAAAAAACAAAGTCAGTAAAACCTCTTTTCCAAGAGCACGACATGCGACTGTTCTATATTTCCATGAGCAATTAAAATACCATTTCCACTAAACGCGACTTAGATCCTGAATGCTAAAGACGTTGCAATCAGGCGCGGTTATCACTTCAAGAAAAAGAGATCTTAGTACCATAGTACAAAAGTGCTTTACTCCGTCTGTAGCCCTAAATATTCAAGGTCAAGTAGACCATTTATGTGTTAAGTTATCCTTAAAAACTGTCGTATGAAGATATTTCTAATCGCATTCTTCGGTAATATTAAAGTAAAACGTAAATCTATTACGGAAATTAATTAATCAATTTTATATATTACGCATTTCCCGTTTGAATATGGATTTACGTAAAAACATATTTAGGACAAATAAGATTAAATACGACAATGTTATGTGGAACATTTATAAAAAATAATGAGGTCAAGAACATTTGGCATTCTATCAGATCATTTTACAAAAAAGGATAGATATTTTTAATCTAACTGTATGTGCCAAAAAGGCCTCATTTAAGAACTACACTAGCACAAACAATGTAAGATGGTATTGCTATTTTTTTTTTTAATATTAGCAGATTTTGTTAATTGAATAATATTTCTTGTACCGTTCCAATTATGCTCTAGGCTTGGGTTAGGATTTACAACATAAGTCGCATGGTGAGATTGGAACTCTCGACCACCCGATAAGAAATTCGTACCCTTAACCATTAGGCTATTGGCTCTTAGAGAAATATCATACTAATATTATAAATGTTTAAATGTATGTTTGTTTTAAGGTAAACGGCTGAACGGATTTGGATATAATTTGACACAGACGTAGAACATAGTCTGGAGGAACTCATAGGCTACTTATAAAGTTATTTTTTAATTCCGCGCGGGCGGAGTTCGACAGTTAGTTATTAATTAAGGAATGCAACTCTGTTTACAATTTACCTACTCTTTAAATCAGTTATTTAATTAGTGGCTCTTTAATGATTTAATTACTATTATTAGGCCGAACAAACGTTTACAAATTGAAAGTCCTAACTACTTTTCAAGGATATTTTGATACGCCTAATTTTTCTTTATTTTCAATCTTTAGGAACATTGAATTCATGACATTCTATTCATTCTAGTGATTAAATCCATTTTTGCTTGACCATCAGCATCTGTATGAGGCATAAAATCACCTATCTCTACAGCCCTTTGTGGGCCTTGGCTTGGTCCAGCAACTTTCTGCACCTCGGTCTTTCCCGGGCACGAACCTTCAATTTGCTATACCAACTTTTTTTAGAGAAGCTTAAAATATTAAGAACAAATATACAAAATTAAATTATTAAAATTTTAATGATAACGAAACACATTGTGAGAAACGTGTCCTTGCAATAATAATATATCTTTTTTTATTCTGCACACTGTTGTTTATGTAGCTACGTTTTTACTTATCTGTAGAATTGTGGTTTATTTATTTTAAAATGTATTATTCTTTTCTGTTCAGAATAAAAAATGAATAAATTAACATTTATAGCATTTACCACTCAGAAGCTTAGCGGTTAAATAACGTAGCTAGTAACCGCAAACCCTGGGTTGGGACGGGATCGTGGAAAGTGGAGACTTTTGTTGTCAGAGGCCAAGGCCCACTTGGGGTCGCTTCGTCACCCTAGTTAGCTTTTAACCGCAAGTCCTAGATTTGATTCTAAGAAGGGACTGTTATTAAACGATTTTTTAAATTTATTTTCTCCAAATTAACACCTGGGTCTCAATTTGCTTGGGATATCTAAACTTGAAACAATGAATTTGCACAAGTAGAAAATCATATTGCTATCTCTATTGTTTTCAACAAGACTGAGTGGGTTGAAAATATGTTTTACCATTCGAACTCATTGGTACATACTGAAACAATGTACTTTCAGAATCTCGAACAGAAGTTATCACTTCATCCATCTTTTAGATTATATCTTTGATGTATACGTATTAATTACTTTAGTTTTTTTTAACAGTAACTCTATTCTAACAGATTTCATCATAATGGTATAATTATTTTGACCTACGGAAAACTGGTTTAATCAAACGAATGCTTAGTTTGAATTATTTCAGAATATTTGTGGAGATTTTCGTAATATATACAACGAATAGAGAACTACACTGATAAAACGATCGCACTGAATTTCGTATTTGAAAACACTTTCTTTAGGCTATTTTGAATTTTGCAGCGTAGTTTTGAAAAGATTCTCCCGGCATGTTCAAAAACGAATGAATATTTCAACAGAGAACAGAATGCTTTGATCTCACGTGCCTTTAAAATGTAAATATCATGTTAATAAACAGTTTCTTCAGCTAAAAATTATATGCTACGATGCGTAATAACAAACATCCATCCATCTAAACATTCGTATTAATAATATTAGTAAGATAGATAATAGAGAATAATAGTAAGAAGATAGTCGCCAGCGATTCTGTCCGCGCGGAATTATAAAAAAAAACTTAATTAGTATGTGTTCGATATCTATTTCATCGAGATCCATGCGGCCATACTGGATATTCAAAGCATCCAAACTTTCGCATTTATAATTTCAATAACACATTCCCCATCATAATAAAGACAAGGAAAAATTACTCACATAATAACCACAAATACCAATTTTGAATATTATTATTATATTTTGCTGTTAAAATTTATAAATATCGCGGAAAAAAAAATACGAAATTAAACGTTAAATAACAATGAAAATTTACATACAATTTATTACAAGCAACCAACTCGTGTGTAAACCAAGACCCAGTGGTGTAAACAAAAAAATAAATTCAGCAATAACCAATTCGCGCCCGCCGGTAATAAACGTAATAAAAAATACGCAGTAACCCCTCTTGAAACACTCATCACATGAAGGATGTTAGTCAATTTGCAATGTCATATTAATGTAAGCAGGGGTCTAAGCGGTGTGTGAGAGGTAGTTCTAGAAGTTCTAAAGAACACAAGTTCAATTTTCATAGCCAAAAAATTATACAAATCATTAACGTGGATTAACTTTCCATCTTTAACTTACTCAGACTCGGTAATTGGGCCCTAAACGAGAACCTTAGTGTAGATTTCTCATACTGCAATCAATAATTTTGGGAATAAATTCGACAAAACATTTTTTTTCATGAAGAAATGGGTAGAAGTAATCTTATTTTTCTGTAACAAGTTAATAAGCGAACATAACGTAACCAGTAATAAATCGACATGTTTCGTATTTTGTACATTAACCGTGGGTTTTCACTGCCCCCTTAAAAAATGTTTGTTTCCTTTTTGTGTTTTTTGGAACTTATATTTTGTAGAACGCGTCATTTAATACCCACTTTATTTAGAGATTTTACGCGCATTTCCACGTGATAGGTAAATATTTTGCAAATCAGAATGTTAGTCTCCAAGACCTCTATAAAGAACATATATTTATTGTAATAAAAAAAGTGCAAAAACAAGTAATGAAGGCAAACGAGAGCGCGTCTTTTTTCAAGGTGGTTACGGAGGTCGGAGTCGAAGTAATGGTTTTGACCTTAAAAAAGGAAACTGCTAAAGGATAGTAAACGAAATTTACTATCTTTTTGTATTTAACATTATTATTCTTGTTGATAATCATAAGGTCGTACACGATAATAGAAAAACTAGTTTTAAAATATTTTTGTTTTAATGAATTCATTGTGACAATACTATAACAGATTAGTCATTTTTTATTTTCAAACTTTAAGTATTAACTTGAAATTAACTTCAGTATAGAATGGATACAAAAACCAATAAGATTCCAATTTTTAAGTTGGTCCAACTAAAATATATAATTCATAGTCTTTCTTTCGACCTCAAAGTATGATAAATGTAATATTTATCATGTTAAATCGGAAATATTAGTAACTTTGTCTGCATGAAGTTAAAAGAAATTACTTATGTCTCTCTGAGATAATGTAGCTTTATAATAACTATTACATTTTTAAATCAGGAGTTTAAATTTCATTCATTACATACAAAATATGAATCTTTACTGTTAATAATATTCAATACAAAAACTAGATAAGTGAAATATAATGACAGCTTTTCATTTGGAAAAGAACTGAGAAAATAAGTAAAAAAAAACACCAAAAATAAAAACATACTGGAAATAACTTGTGTAGTCTATAAATGTACCTACACTTGCCAAAATGATAGCTCTGTATGATAAATATGTTTTAATACTTTCCTCAGTGAAATATAATTGATTTAAAGATAAGAAATCACTTACTTGTAATGATAACAGATAGTCCTGGCCAAGCCATTTCCTGAGCCACAAGGTAGGATAGCCAAGGGCACCTCTGCTAGGGCCTGTTGCCAGTCCAGACGTTCAAACATGCCATTCAGTATTTCGAAAAGGACTCCGTCACCGCCCGCTGCCACAATACCGCGCCAACCGTAAACATTTCTTGTGCGAACGAATTCTCGGGCGTATTGTGCGTATTTAGTAATATGCAGGTCGTATGGAACTTCTGCTTCTTGGAGTAACGGAGCCGATTTAGTCTGAAACAGCTCTCTCGCTTTCCCCGGCCCAGATTTAGGGTTAAGCAAGATAAGCAACTTCTTATCATTTTGTGGGATCACCGTAGTTATAGGCTGGTTGGCTATTAAACACTTAATACTAGTTCTCCATTTTTGTGCCTCTTTGTAATTATCTTCATATTTATCATACGAGCGGAACCTTAATGTTATTGTTGTCCTTTCCCTTTTTAAAGAGCGACGACTGCGCTTTAAGGTGTACGCGAAAATATATAGATAAGCGCTAATGTCACTTTCGTCCAGGTCTCCGCTATTCTCTTCTACAACTTTAAGCTGCTGTGGTCCCACGAGTGAACTACAAACACAGGAACCAGCCCCTGCACGGCGACGCTTGCTTCTCATACACTTACTGCCAATAATGTCTCGTAAAAGAATCGTTTGTTCTTTAGAGCTATCATCAGTTTCTTTTATCAACGACAGTCCTTTAGATGTTAGTCGGACTCGAAACACAGATTTCTTCTTGGATAGAATATAAAACGTTTCTTCAAGATAAACTTGTTCTTTACAATCAACATTTTCTTTCTCAATGGTGTTGGGAACGTCCTTGCCTAACATTGGTTCCGCCATAACTAATTTGACAAATAACTGACTGTTTATTTATTGTCCACCAGGCAGGCGAAACTCTATTAGTCTATGGTACAAATTGAACGCAAACGGAGATCCTCCATCTTGAAAATTGTGTCTATCCCACTCATAAGTTTCTCTATAATTTTTGGGCTGTTTAAAAAAAAATACCATAGTGCATATGAATAAATTGTGATTTAAAAATTTATAATTTCTTTATATTTAAAGTTTAGATAATAAATAAACAACAATTTAATTAAGTTATTTGAAGTATGTAATTTAAAATT